GCTGAACCGATGGAGGGTATCATTCGTGCTAGCCCAAAAGGGAGAACATGCTGTTAGGTAGAAATAATTGCATACTCGGTCAAAGAATATATATTGAAGGATGATACCCTAAACTGTAGGTAGATTCTTAACATATACTTGCAGTACTGAGAACAAAAGGTGAAAGACAAAGTACCAAAACAATAGGATCATTATTTCTGCCTAACAATTCTATTGAATTTCTATCTTTTTACCATTGAACAGAAAGTAGTGGCAATAATAATTGATTTTGCGTGTGGACTAGAGGAATGAAGGGACCAAGGAATCACGAACACATGTCATGGATTTTAAGGGCATTGGAACAAACCATCATGTAATGAATGGTTCCACCATGCCACCAGGGACAATAACATTATTTAAAATGTTCAAGTTTGGTGCTAATGATTCATTGATTCTGATCTGAAGTGACCCAACTAGTTCATGCCTAAGTGCTTAAATTGCTTTGAGAAGCAAATGGAAATAAACCATACCTTGTCGAGTACTTGTTTTGTTTCCACAGTGGATGGTTATCTTTCTCAAGACCCTTTTAAGCAACGTTACAGTGAACAGCTACAAACAAAATTGTAAAGGACAAGGTAGAATAATGTGGTCAAGATATTGCTCAATTCATTTGCAAGATTCTCGACTTTATTCTCTCCTGTAAAGGCTAAAAGCAACTCAATTATGCGAACCAAGATCTCATTTTCCCTTTTAGCAAATCTTCACTGATATACATGTCTTAATCCCAAAACTCTTTTCTTGATTCTCTTTCTTGAAAAGAATAAAAATAAATAAATCTAACTCATCTGTACTGTTTTTTTTTTCACTAGTGTTTGGTAATTGGTAGAAATCCAGTACTAGCGAACAGTCAAAGATCAGTACCATTCAGGTCCCGAGGAAAAACATAAAGAAACTAAGATCACATGCTCAACCAGTGAACCAACTATTCTGATATCACTCAAATTTCTGCAACTCAAAATTTATTTTTCATTCATTTTCCTATGGTAAAAAACAATTAGTGTGTATCCTTTCAAGAAGAAAGGGGAAAGAGAAAAAACAAAGAGTTAAAGCAAGAATCAAATATACAATACACACAAAAAAAAAATGTTAAGAAAATTAAGATGAACAAGTTCCCTTATCTTAAGAAGGGATTTCAAGTTTGAGTTCCAGTATACAGCTGTGTTAAATAGTCAGATGACACATCTCAGAGTAGTCTTACTTGGCTCTAGCAGGATTGAGGATCTGATGACTAAGTTCCCTTATGAACTCTTACAGGAATAGATCAACCAGGAGAAGTCAACTTTATCTTTATCTTCTTTCTGAGTAGTCTTAATTACTCCTCGAACAGGATTGTTTGATGCAAAGGATGTGACGAAGAAGATTTAGTTATGAACTCTTACAAGCATAGATCAACAAGGAGAATTCAACTCTATCTTTATCTTTCTGCACCGTCTTCTCCTCCAACCACAATCTGCTATCCAAGCCACTCCTAGTCCTGAACATGAACACAGCATAGCCAGAAGAATCAGGATTGAAAAACCAGTTATGAACATCCCAAAGCAAATCCACCAGCAACCCATCAACAAAAATGGTTTGATTCCCCCTAAAGTTCCACTGCAGCCTCTTCACACGAATCACCGTCTTCTTATCAATGCAAACAGACAAAACAGGAGCCTTCAGCCCCTCACTCTCCCCACTGCATCTGATCAAAATGTCATGCCAAGTGCCACTGTCACAAAACTGAGCCTTCGTGGCGTAAACCGCGTTACCAGAACAATGCTCACGCCGTGACAAAAGTGTCACATTATTCACAAGTGTTCTTTCTTTGAACTTGTTGTTTTCTTGACCCAGAATAAGGCCTAGTTCTGCATCAACAAGAATTGCCACGTAAAACCCTTCAACAGGTTCGGGTCCAGTGTTGTACTTGGCCTTTGTAAGGTCCCAAAAGACTTCAACCTTCGAGTCTCCCAATTCCACCACCTTGCTTCCCTTCTTCTTGCGGAAGAACCTTGAACTGGTGTTGAGTCTGAAAGAGGGTGCCACGTGGCCGTCGTCTCCGAAGGTTATGGTGAGGCCTTGATAGGAGTGTGTTTTGCACCACGTGACTGTGATGAGAAGCTGCTTTTGGTTGGAGAGGGTTGTTTTGTAGACCGAAGAAACTGTGTTTTGAGTTGAAGGTGGTGTTGTTGCACTATGAGGTATGCAAGCGTTGTTTGAGTAGCTAGAACATGAGGAGTGTGACACACTCACTGCGTTTTCGTTGAAACATGATATTATGTCTGTCATGTTTTTCATTTTGCATATAGATATGAGAAACTAGAGGTTGAGATCTGAAGTGTGATGGTTTTGTGAAGGAAGGTGAATGCAAGGAGAGAGAGAAGGAAAGAGAGTGTTGTTTCCCAAGAAGACCATTACCAACATTTAATTTTCATTAACATGGTCACATTCATATCCTCTCTCTCACAGTACCTTATAATAAGGATGTATTAATTAACAGAAGGAAAAGAATAGAAGAATGATGCGCAAACCTAGGTGGTGTGCCCTTTTAATATGTTTCGCCGGTTAATAACTCAGTACCATTTTAACATTATAATTTGGGAGTTGGAAAAGGAAGATAAAAAGGCTTACCCAAAAGTGTATCCTTCTTCTGTGCCCTCTATTTCTTTTCAGTTTTCAGTACTTTCTGTGACATGATATGTTATGCTTTAATTTAATTTTGTAGCTCAGTAGTTCGAGGGACAAATATATTGTTAAATATAATATGTATATAGTAAGAACAGGTGAATCAAATCATATATATCATTCTAGTTTAATTGGTAGTTTTAAATTTGAATCATTATGTTAAATATTTAGAAAGAGAGTTGTGTAACTCTATATCTATATAATTTAATCTAACAACATATATATTTACATTAAAATGTGCGTTTTTATTAAAATAGTATGTAAGTTGATTATAGGTATGTGAAAAAATGCTTTATTTCTTTGTCAAATATGGGTATGGCTTAGCTAAAGCATCTTGAAAATGGTTGAAGTATTTCAGTTACAGGTAAGCTAAAATTTCCAAGGGCAGATCAACAGGAATCAAAACCCCCAATATTTGGTGGAGATTTTGGATTTTTGACATTGTCTGAGGCAAAAAAATAAATTTGTGGGATAGTAGATTTGTGGTTTTTTTTACCCTTTTTTTTTCTCTGGGTCCAATTTCCCCTATTTTTTGTGTAATAACCAGAAACATGAAAATGGCAGTGGGGAAACACTGAATAAATGTTGGCCCACAAAATAAATTAGGCCTGTAGACCCCCCCCCCCCCCCCCCCCCCCCCCCCCCCCTCACCTC